GTCATTTTAAACTTCGTTTAGTAATTTAAACTTTGTTTTACACAACGGTGGAATTGGCCTTTACCTACTAGCTATTTATTGATAAAGTGTTATTGCCCTCATCATAAATGAATCGTGCTAATAAATGAAGTCAAAAAAAGTCTCATAATTTTTCTTCTTTTAGTTACCTACCAAAATTAGGTACTACAATACAAATATTTAAGTCCAGCCCAGAACATCTCCCTACTCCTTCCACCCAGTTTTTCGGTTTTGGCAAAATTCGCGCAGCGGGAAATAATTCCTATGTTACCTCTACCCTTTCTAACCTCTTGGCCCCTGACTAAACTTATTAATAACATTGGTAATATTTCTAATTAAAAACCACGTAAGTCAACATTTGGCTAAATTAGATTTATGTCAAGTCGTCAGAGGTACTTACACGTTATGTGCAAACAAAGACATTACAACATATAGACAAAATGTTTCATTCATAAATCCCATACAATTGCGGACTGTTATTGTTTTAAAATTGTTAGTGAGTGGAAGAGAGAAAGACAGATCTCTTATGACCGGCTGGCAACGTTGTAAACAGTGTCCATAATATGCTCGCCAGTGTGGCGTAGAGTTTTAAACTTACCAGTATTGTCAGAGTAGTATGTTAAAAAAATACGTAAATATGTAGGTATATTTTTTTAGTAATATAATTATGATGATTTTTTTCATGTAGGTAGATTAGATTATGAGTTGGACGTTATTTGTCCTTGTCCACTGCGACCTTTTCAGATCTATTGTGGGACTCCTGTTTGTTTTCTAGCCTGGTCTTTTTTATTAGTCTTAGTAGCTTTGACAGCGGCTCCCGCATGTAGTTGCATGCAATTGGCTTTTCTTCGCCCAATGTTAGAAACCTCGTTCCAGCCAGGCATTCACATTGGCACAGGACGTGGAATATTGTTTCCTCTTCTTCTTCACAGAACCTGCACAAAGTTGCTTCTTCTGCTGGATTTATGACACTCATGTGCCTTTTGAGGCGACAGTGTCCAGTAAGAAGGCCTACTGTTATCCTAACGATTTGACGCTTTTGATCCAGTAGGTCTTTCGTGAACTTGGCCGATGGTTCCTTGATGAACTGTTTGGCCTGTCTCAGTCTTGGATAGTTGTTCCACCATTCCTGAGACTCTGTTTGCATCCATTGTTTAATGAATGCCTTGCACAATGCCTTAGCAACTCCACAGAAGGGTCTGGGGCCTGTCATGGCCTTATCTGAGCCTCCTCGGGCTAATTCGTCAGCCTTTTCGTTGCCCTGATATCCCTCATGGCCTGGAACCCAGGCTAAGGTCACCTTATTTTAACTACTTAGCTCTGTCAGGTCTTCTAGACAGTCTTTCACCAGTCGTGATTTGATTTCTGGTTAGAGAATTGCCTTCAGAGTATATGACAATAGTTTTGCATGATACTTGCTGATTTTTCATGTAGGTAAATCCAAGTACAAGTAAATTCAAATACAAGCGAATTCAATTTTGATTTTTAATATTTATTGGTTTATAGTTTATTGGCATTTACTATATATTTGCCTGGTATGATGTTAACCAAAATTATTTAAAATTTTAATTTAACATTAAGTAGGTAGGGGTATCTAAATAAAACACTGTCCTAAAAATATATAATTTTTTAATTAATAATTACAAAAAAACATGGTATGGCAAAAAATATCGTAAAAAAATTGTAAAAATTTTTAAAATAATGTTTTAAATATATAAAATACTTTTTAATTTTATTAACTAAAATTTCATTTCATTTTTTTATGCTTAGTTATTAATGTTATAACTTACTGCAACGTTTCTTTTTGCAGCAGGTGGTGTTCCAAAAACAGTTGAATCAGAACTAAAAACCCATACATTAGATATTCATACATATAGGTAATAAATAATGTTTAGAGGTAAACAAAAAATTAATATTTTGTATTTTTACCTGTTGGATAAGTCATCCAAAAATAGAAAGCCCTCACACCGTCTGGAGTTTGCATCTTTTCTAATATATCTAGTACCATTTGCGCGTACCAAAACATTTTCAGGAAAACAGTGTTCTAAACACAACTCTGGGTTTTTACGAAGGGGCTGATTTTCAAGGATTCCTATTAGAGAAAACCAAAGTTTTCTTTTCTCAGGATCTTGCGGGAACCTAAATAGAGTAATAAAAAATATGTATAGGTGCTCAATAGGTAAATCATTTTTAAGGTATTCTACATTTTACGTTAAATTTTCTTTGCCACTATTCAATAATTATTTATTGGCATAAGAAAAATTTACTAAATTATAAAAGGAATATCACTTTAAAAACTGTTTTAAGACTGTAGACTACACAAGTTTTTGATACAATTTCTTGTACAATTTAAATTGTATATTATCAAATCTGCAGTAAATTGTCTGAAAAATTAGATTGGATAATCATTTCTCAAACAATTTACTATGTGATCCTATATAATTTAAATTCTATAAGAAATTGTATCAAATCTTGTACAAGCCCTACTCCACCGGTTCAAATGAAAACAACATATCTTAACCTAAAAATACAGATGAAACCATACATTTCGACTTAAATGATCTACCTTTTTGAACACTACACATGCATGTACCATAATTCTTTATATTTCTCACAAAAGTTCACAAAAATAGTATTTTATAAATGAATAAAAGTCACACAGAAATTGTCAGAAATACAAAATAGCTGTTAGACCTGATTGGCAACGTTGCGGCTGGTTACGGTACTACATTTCATTCATAAAAATTGTAAATTCGTAAAATAAGATATTCAGCGTTGCCGTATTTACGGAGTTCTTCGAAACCCTAATATTTTGTTTAGATTAATATTGATTTTTTAATAAAAAATTTAGCTTATATTAAAACTTCAAAGAATAATTTGATTAAAAACATATTTTTATTTATATAATATAAAATTATAGTTACAGGACACATCAGATTTTATTTTTCGAAAGTAATTTCTCCAAATAATTTTGACAGACTGATAAAATCGGCAAAGACGCAATAAACGAGAATCTGGTGGGAATAATGATTTGTCACATAAAAATGTAAACAATTTAGTCTCTTAGTTGTAATGTCTTTGTGTGCAAAAATCACCCAAACCTTTTTAGATTTAAGATTGGCGCCTTATGTGTTTTTTGTACGGACATTTATTCAGAGTCGGTTTTTAGGGATTGGCATTTTAATTTATATTAATAGCCTAATAATCAAGCTTAATGTTACCATCTTACATTTTAAAATATTTTTAAAGTTTTGACTATGTCAATTTTTACTCTTATTTCCTTCAAAACAAATGAAAAATTGTTTCATTAAAAAAACACATAGGTCAATAACCAAAAATATTTTTTTTAATTTGCGTTTTTAAGGTCTTCTATTCTATTCATAGTTACTTAAATGTCTTATATAAAGAAATTAATAAAATATATTTTTAGTATAAAAGTTTTTTGTGTACTGAAAATTTAATTTTTCTCACTGATATTGTTTTTGAAATAATAATAATAACGGGTCTTTATTTGCACAAAATAATTACATTTTTGTACAGTTAGCATGGGCGAGGTTTAGCCTGTGGCTATTCTTACACCTAACCCTAACAAAACATATACATTTAAATAACTATAATATTAAAAGTTTATCAATACAATTTTACATTAGTAGCTCATTATATCTACCAGTTTACATTTGACTAATAAAGAGTTGCCTTTTTAAAGCATTTTTAAAAACAGGTAGAGATCGTGATTTTTTAATATCGGTATGTAAAGTGTTGTACAGAACAACCGCGTTATACGAAAAACTACGATTATAAATAGCACTAGAGTGACGAGGCATTGATAAATTAAAATTGTTTCTTATGTTTACATTGTGCGTAGACGATCTAAAAGTTAATTTGTTCATAAGATATAATGGTGACGCAGTAGAAAGTATTTTAAAAAGAAAAGAAAGGAACATAAATATATATAAATTATTAACAGTTAGCCAGCCAGTTTGGGAGAAGGCTTGGGAAATATGATCGAATTTTCTAAGTCCTTTTGCGAATCTGCAGCATGTATTCTGCATAATTTGCAAACGGTTACGATCAGCAGCTGTTAAACAAGGATAATACACAACAATTCCATATAATATTTTTGAAATTACAAGGCTTTGGCAAAGTTTTAGTTTTATAGATTGGTTCTGTAGGATGTGCTTATTAGAATAAAGCAAGCGAAGACCACTATAACACTTTTGTAACACATAGTTGACATGTTGACTGAACCTCATTTGATCGTCAAAGTATAACCCTAAATTTATAGACTCAGTTTCATGTGGAATAGATTCACCAGATATCATCAGAGTTGTATTGTTCTTTATATAGTGTCTAACATTTTTACTACAGAATAATGATAGTTTGGATTTCGAAGCATTAATGTGAAGGTTATGATCAGACGAATAGTTATCAATTTTTTTAAGATCTTGATTAATCTTATCAACTGCAGTAATGACTTCATTCGACGAAAAATCGAGGAACAGCTGAGTGTCATCAGCAAAAAATTGGACTGCACAATTATTTACGTGTTTGTAGAAATCCGAAGTATAGAGTAAGAAAAGCAGGGGCCCTAGGACTGAACCTTGTGGTACACCAGATTTGATTTGAATGGATGTTGATTTCTGACCGTTTACTGTAACTAACTGTGATCGTTTACTTAAGTATGTTTTTATGAAACCTAATGAAATTCTATCAAATCCATAATATTGACACTTGGATATAAGAAGACTATGATTAATGGTGTCAACCGCTTTGCTAAAATCTAGTAGAACTAGGACACCTGCTTTTTTCTTATCAATACTATTGAAAATATTGTCACTTAAATGTGCCAAAGCTGTTGAAGTACTGAAACCCTTTTGAAAACCCGACTGATGCAAAGGGATTATATGACCGATTTAATTTTAATCATTATGATGATGATGGTGATGATAATAATAATAGTAACATATTTTTTTCTATTTTAGGTTGCTTCCTTGCCATCTGCATGTTCGTGTTAAGCACCAAGCATCTGATGGTAGTCTACATGTACCTTATGTCAGTTGGGCTGGTAATCGTCTCATATTGGACCAACGTGAACACAATCAACTCTGCTTTAAATCTAGAGACCTTTGAAAATCGAACTTTAAACATTATCAATGTAGTTTCGCTGAATCTCGAACAGCTTATACAACACAAAGTCTACATATTTAACATAATACAGAATTACTTTTTCCAGTTTTTGTTAGCAGTGATCTTTACTAACATACATTTAGGACCGAGGAATCCTGTAATACAAAAAATTCTGCCCATAGCTTTTTTGGTGCCATCTGTTTTGGTGGTATTACCCATACCGACATTTTTACTGAATCATATACCGATTATAGCAGCGCTGGTACCTCTAGCACTAGTCAAATTTGTCTTGTGTAATTCTATATTTCAAATTATACATTCTGTTTATTCAGGTTATCTTCAAGCTAAAAATATCGTATCTAATTTCGGTATGTCAGCTCTAGTAGAGTCAGAATGGCTACGACTTAACGTACCTGAAGTGTTAAGAACATTTTGGATATTGAGGGTATTAGAACATGCTGGAATATTCTTTTTATCTGGCTATTGGGACATTGAAGATGGCAACTCACCATACTTTAGATTACTAAAATTTCTAATGGTAACAGGATGTGACACATTAACAGCAGTACTTGGCATAACGAGTATAGTTTCATACATTTGTAACTACATTGGTAAATTCTTCCAATGGATATTATTAACTGATGATGAAAATGATAAAAATTTTGGTACAGTATCAGCTATTGTATTCTATATTCTAGCATTACAAACAGGTCTTACAGGCTTAGAACCTGAAGTTAGATTTGTAAGATTATGTAGGAATTTCTGTTTGCTCTTTACAGCTTTATTACATTTTACTCATAACGTTGTTAATCCTCTTTTAATGAGTTTAAGCGCTTCACATAATCCTTCTTTAAGAAAACATCTTCACGCTTTACTGGTATGTGGAGTATTAGTTGGTTTACCAATACTATTAATGTACTTCTTATGGAAAACGCAGGAAATTTCTACTTGGTTACTAGCTGTCACTGCTTTTAGCATAGAGGTCATAGTAAAGGTATTTGTTTCTCTAGCTATTTATTCATTATTCTTACTTGATGCTAGAAGAGAGACTTTCTGGGAGAAGCTAGATGACTATATATACTACATTAGAGCTTTCGGTAACACAGTAGAATTCTGCTTTGGTATATTCCTATTCTTCAACGGAGCATGGATACTTATGTTTGAAAGTGGTAGTGCTATTCGAGCAGCCATGATGTGCGTACATGCTTATTTCAATATATGGTGTGATGCTAAAGCTGGATGGTCAGTTTTTATGAAGCGGAGAACAGCTGTTAATAAGATTGAGAGTTTACCAGAAGCTGATAAGGAACAATTAAGGTTATTAGATGACGTGTGTGCCATATGTTACCAAGAAATGCAGAGCGCTAAAATAACTAGATGTAGACACTTTTTCCATGGTGTCTGTCTTCGAAAATGGCTATATGTCCAAGACAGATGTCCTTTATGTCACGAAATTCTTCATGGCATAGACTCAGACGAAAGGAAAGAATCTAGACAGCAAGATGTTGCTGTGGATAGGGTCCAAGAAGACAATTACGATAGGTGATAGGTTTTGAATGTGATATAGGGTAATTTTATATAAATTTTTGAGCTTGGGAGTGTTTGGACTGATTAGCGATGGACTCTTGAGAACCATTAAAAATTTTTCTTGGCTGTTAATTGACTTTGAAAAGAGGTATATTAAGATGAAAAATAAATAGATTTATTCTATTATAAGTGTATATAATTAATTATATATATTCGGATATAAGTGTTGTTATTTCTGATGTGTCAAATTTCAGTGGCAATGTTACTTTCAATAAATAAATTTAGAATCAAATTGTTAAATGAAAATACTAATCTTGAAATTATAATAATTAAGATCGACGTTGTTTTATTGAAATGTGGCTGTCTATACGGTATTTTCGTTGTGACTCCTGAAATATGTCATAAAATGTTAAAATTGTATTTTTGTTATACAGTAAAAATAATAATAATAATAATAATAATAATTTGTCGTCTAAAACTATTTTGTTTAATAAATTTTTTGTTTTGTTTTTTATTAAATTTACAAAACATTTTTGGGATATATTTTTAATAACACGATATGTTGTTTTTTTATAACTTTAACATTTTGTTTTTAAATTGGAGATAAAATAGAGGTTTAAATTTTCTGTTAATTTTTGTAATATTTTTATTTTAATAAAAAAATTAGCTAAAATATATTCTTTTTATTCAGTTGTGAACAATACATTCAATTATTTTATATCTGTTTATGGCGCTTGTCACTTCTTTCACATACTTAATTTATAGACAGCCCCATAATTTAAAACAGCTCTCACTGAAATCCCACTGTTAAAAATTGTAAATTGTTTTAGTAATTAAAAGATCTGAACCTCGCATTTTGTTATTTAACGTAAAATTTATGTCGTAGTCTTATAGTGAAATTCGTATTTTCATGAAGGTCATAGTCACACCATGAAGCGTCGGCATATTGTGTAAAATCATAAAGATACACAATCTACCGAGGCTTTTCGTAAAGAGACTACATTCTTTCGGCGTATTATGTCGTAACATAATCTGACTAAATTTAAATGTCGGCACTTTGTGAAGTAACGATTTATAGTCGTCAGATTGTGTAACGTGTTAAATTTACCTGGTTTTATTGAAACTGATAGTAATTTTGTTATTATTTGTGGTTATTATAGAGGAAAGTAATGAAAATAAGTTGTTTAATATATACTACAGCAAATATTATACGTCATGTCCGAACAAAATACCATACAACATCCAGCAGTGGCATAAACAATTGTTTAAGATTATGTTATGAACGTAAACACCAAAGCTAGATAATATAGGGTGGACCCAATAATAATAATTATTTAGGTGTATTTGTAGGTTAAATCCGTATATAGTGCGTTTAGATCTTACTAGATGTACTATAAGCTTTAGAACTGGTTTCAATTTGTTTTACACAGCTGGCCATTTCAGTTGCCGGATATTGATCTTAAGATTCTTAATAAAGGGTTTCCCAATAAGAACGATCCAACTACAAAGTGTAAGAAAATAAAAAGTTTCAATAAAACGAATATAATTTAATATTAATTTTAAAACATACATAGTGACATTATGTTTTAAAAATTATGTCACTTAAATGTCCGCCGCGGCTTTCCCTGGTGAGTCGAATTCTGCGAGTCCAGTTTTCGATAACCTCATTACACAGATGTGGCTCAATCGCAGCAATTTCGCGTCTGATGTTGGCTTTAAGGGCGTCAACAGTTCGTGGTTTATCGGCATAGACACGAGATTTAAAGAAACCCCAGAGAGAAAAATCCAGCGGAGTTAAATCGCATGATCTGGGCGGCCAGTTGACGTCGCCATTTCGCGATATAACAGACCCGTCGAACTGCTCATGTAATAATGCAACTGTAGCATGTGCAGTATGGCAGGTTGCTCCATCTTTTTGGAACCACGTGTTTCTCAGATTCATATCACCCACTATAGGCCATAAAAATGTTCTTATCATAGCTCTATATCGCTCACCGTCGATAGTAAGTGCAACTCCTTCATTTTCGAAAAAATAAGGACCGATTATTCCGCCGGACCATAATGCACACCATACGGTTACTTTTGTGGAATGTAGTGGCACTTGGTGAATCTCCCGCGGGTTTTCGTCGCTCCAAATTCTGCAGTTCTGCTTGTTAACGAAGCCACTCAACCAGAAATGCGCCTCGTCACTAAAGATGATTTTTTTCCCAAAATCATGATCATCCTCCAAGTGTTCTAGCGCCCAGTTAGCGAATTCACGCCGCAGTCTATGATCATTGGGCTTTAATTCCTGAGTCAATTGCACCTTATATGAATGAAGGTGTTAGTCATAATGCAGAATTCGCTAGGTTGACATCTGCGAAAGTCCAAGCTCTTGAGCACGACGCGGAATAGACTGTCTCGGATTCTCATGCACACTTTCCCGAACGGCAGCAATATTTTCAACGGATCTCACTCTTTGTTGGCGTACAGGCGTTGGTCGATCTGCCACTGAACCACTTTCTTCAAATTTCTGCATTAAACGGCGAATTGAGGAGTCGGTAGGACGATCATGGACACCATAAACTCGACGAAGTGCGCGGAACGTTTGCCGAACAGAACATTGGTTTTGGTAATAAATTTTGACGATTTCGATACATTGTTCGATTGTATACCTCTCCATATTAAATGTCAAGGCTAACTGAATACTCCTGGCAAAGATAACGCGTGTGTGACTTTCAACCTTGCAATGCACTGTTGCCAAAGATCGCGCGTTCTTATTGGGAAACCCTGTATAAAGTCATTCAATATTTATGTTTATTCTATTACTTCCACACCACACAAAGTGAGGGTAAATATTGTTTAGGTTAAAAATTTTTTTTGTCTAAAACTGTCAGACTAGCTGCTCTAACATTACCAAAAATAAGTTTTGACAAAAAAAAATTGTGTGTCCACCATAAATCCCGAACGGTTTGAGGTATCGATTTCAAATTTAATGGACATAATCAAAAAAAACTAAAATAGTTTAATATTTTTAGCGATATAAAGTATTTTATACGATAAAACGTTAGGGTGGTGTGGAAGTATTAATATTATGGTTGCAGCATTTTTTGTATCTCTGTTTTATGCTGACCCGCCCTATATAATCCAATGTCTTGGTAACAAGCTCAGAAGATCCATTTAAACACAATATGCCTTTGTGGGCATTTTATGAAACCGCAATATTTTAATTTAGACAATTTGCCGAAATGCTACAGGCTCTTCATGAAAAGCCATGGCATATTGTGTAGCTTCATGATTTTACATAATATGCCGACGCTTCGTGAAATGACTTCATAAAAAGACGAATTTCATATGAGCCTACGACATATACACATTTAAAATGGGCTTACATCAATTTTTATATTTTTGAGTAATTTTTTGTGAATTCTTTTGTTATATAATTTCCTCATATTTTAAAATATACAAAACAAAATTTACGATTTTAATACATTCTCTTCAAAATCATTACTAATAAGAAAATTACCATATAGGTACTTACGAGAATATATTACAAATTATAATTAAGTCAAATTTCATATACAGAAAACTAGTTCTTTATTTTTATTACTTCTTTGGCCTTACAATCGAAGATCTTCATTTTTCATATATACATACAGGGTAGCTGGAAAGTTGACAACAAAGTGTTTCCTTTTAAGCCAATGAAGTAATTATTTTAAGATTGTCTTATGTATTATTTAAGACTAACTTTATGGGACGTCAGCTTTTAGTGTAACGCCGCCATCTTATTTTTTTAATTTCTACATAAGTTGAGTATTACATAACTGGAAATGTTATTTCCACCTTGTTTAAAAATACTAATCAGGTAACATCTGTAGGAAATATCTTGGAAAAGTGCAATTCTATTCGTTTAATTTAGTGTTTCACTACTATTGGTTTACCCCAGGGAAGTGATCAATGAATGAATGAAGCTTTCCAGTTATGTAACACTTGACCAATGTTGCTATAAAAACTGAATTGGTTGCAAAGAAAAACACCTTAGCAACCCTGTAAACATTTTAAGCCTAGAGGACCAAGGCAGCCGCGTTGTGGAGAAGCGGGTATCGCTGAAGTTTCTTGAATTTTTGACATGTTACAGTTGTCGACTTCCTAAAAACTCGATCCTATGCCTAGTTTTTAATATGCAGCTCTTTGAAGTTGCAAACATTGGCGTCGTTTATCAGGGACAAGGAGGGGCAAGTAACTCCCTTAAATTATTATGATTGTAATGTTTTAAATAATCAGGAAAAAAATTCGTTCTGAAGAAATATACCTGTTTTAATTTTTTGAATGTATTTTTATTGTATTGATATGGAATTTTTTTTTAATTTTCAACCAAAAACATATCTCAATCTGGATTGGGACGAATTTTCTAAAAAATTTCATAAATAAACAAAAATTAAATTTAAAATTCGTCTCTTCATTTTCTACTGCTGTGCTCCTTGTAGTTTGATCACACTCTCTGCTGGTTCTTCTCTGCTCTGTCTCTGCGTCTCTATCTTTTAATTTGCATATAAAAATTTCTTTTCACTCTTTTTTTATAATGTTTCATTATATTATTTTATTTTCTCTCCATACAAAATACTAAATTCCAACTTAATTTTAACAAATTCTCAATAAATATACCTACTTTCTAAAAAAAATAATTTTCAACCCTTTGATTTATTCTAAATTAATTTTCTTCAAAACTTTCACCACCCCAGTATTGCTAATGTTGATACTTATTTTAACAAATAAAGGTATTGCTGGTTTTTGTTAACCTAATTTTTAAATTCAAAAAACTAGATTTTGTTTGCCCCTTCCTGGAAAATTATATAACGACGCCCATTGTTACAAAATGGCCATTTTTTAAAAAAACGTGCCTCTTAAGAAACTACTATGGTTACAAATAGTTTTCGAGAATAATGCTTTACTGAAAAATATTTCCAGGATATGTTATTTAATAAATGCCCCAAGTAAAGAAACATTTTTTATCATTAATACAATCTAAAGATGAAAATCTTCATAAACCAAGATTCTACTCACTGTACCTTAGAGTCTAATTATTTAGTTATACAACCGTTAACGTATACTACTAAACCGCACTATACTCTGTTTTATCTAACATCGCTGAACTAACCCAAAAGACTTGGTTCTCTTGAGTCTTCTTATTAGATTGGCATTGTTGAGGAGCTGGATAACCTCAACGTTCCCATGTTGGAGCAGTCGCTGTTGGTGACTACTGGCAAATTTTTGTTTTCTATTTTCAACAGTCTCTACTTTAAGGTTCCTATGAAGATCAGTATTGCGGCAGTACCAGGGTGCATACGGGTTTCAATTTCTGCCTGTAAAGAAGCAGTTTGTTGTGTGTGGATAATTTGTAATTTTTTCCTAGCAACCAATACATTCTTTTATATTTTATACCAATCTCTTCGCGTTTCTTTTTACTATGGACTTTCCAGCGAAATCTAGCATCAAGTGTCATCCAGATATTTTGCTATATTGGCAAAAGGAATCAGATTTGCCTTAATTCAATTATATTCTATTTTTTCGTCCAGGTGTTAATTTGACCTATAGATTTTTGCAATTTCTTATTAGTGTCTTGATTTTTTTTCAATAGCAAGGGTTGCAGTTAGGGTTGCCACCTTTTAGAAAAGTGAAAAAGGACAATGACGCTGACAGGGGCTCTGGTATACAAAAAGTCTTCATCCTTCTAGTGAACTTCCAAAAAAAAGATCGACGGGCTGAACGAAAGAAATCTTCGTACTCCTCGTCTCTTACCGAGCTTCTAAAAAAAAGGTCGTC